CGATCCGTTGCCGGACACGGAAAAAGAAAAAAAAAAAAAAAAAAAAAAAAAAAAAAAGAAAAATGTCTATTAAGGTTCTTTGCCCATTGTTATAGGGTTATTTGTTTTCTTGGTCTTGAGTTCTTTGAATTCCATTTTGCATTTCTAATAGAGATGTTCTCTTTGTACTGTGCAGGCCTGGGAAGTGTGAAACCCCTTCTCCATCAGTTGAGGCTAAAGGACCCTCATTTGGGGATTTGGGGGGCCTGGAAACACCCCTCTGCCACATGCAATGGGGGTGAAAACCATTTACTCTGTGAATATCTAGTGAATGTGGTCCTATGATGTGGAGTGTAAAGTGTTTGTGTGTGTGTGTGTGTGTGTGTGTGTGTAAGCCCAGTGATTCACTAAACACCAATCTCCTGTGTAGCAATCCTTTTAGTAGGGGATATGGTGAACACAGTTAAGTAAATATCCCTGTCCACTTGATCCTGACATTCTACAAGATAAGAAACAACATACACAAGTAAAATAATGTTTTTGATGGTGGTTAGTCCTAAGAAAGGGGATAAAGCTGGTGAGGAGGGCAGGAGGCCTGTGCGGTGTGTGTCTGGGGGCATCTGTTGGTGTCTGGGGACCATTATCTCTGAGAGTTTGTGGGTCTGTGTCTGTGTCTGGGTGTGTACCCCTTTATATGCAGTGACAATGTCTGTGTCACTTTGTACGTCAGTCTGGAGGGTTGTGTGGTTATATCATGTAAAATCTCAAAGGCTTTTATTTCATTATCTTCCCTAATTTCCCTGGTAGCATCTCCATAATATTTTAAATAGAAGTGATGGGAGCAGACACCCTTGTCTCATATTGACTTTAGGGAGAAAGTGTTCAGTCTTTCAGCATGAAATATGTTAGCAGTGGGTTTTTCAGAGGCCTTACATCAGGTGGAGGCATTTTCCTTCTAGTGCATTTTAGGGAGTGTTTTCATCATAAAAGGGTGTTGAAGTTTGCTAAATGTTTCTTTTATCAAGATAATATTGTGGGCCGGCCCGGTGGCGCACTGGATAGTGCGCCGCTTGGGAAGCGCGGTGGCGCTCCCGCCCGAGGGTTCGG